CCATTATTTTCGCATCGTATGACTCTTATAGAGGTCATATCATCGTGAAAGGGTTAGTGTCAATCCAAGATCTATTATATCTTTAACATTGAACCTAACGAAAATTTGGATCTTTTGCAGCAATTTTTTATGGTACTTGTGTATGCCCATTAAAGGATAAAAAGATAAAGCTCTCGGCGTTGATTAATTCCTGAGGGATGCGCCATGCATTCGACCTCATTATGTATCGTTGTAGTTGCACACCTAGCATTTACATTGACTCGCGTTGGCCTACCGATGTATCGAGCCAGTGCTGCTATCCTCCCAGACAAGTCTGGTACCAATTTGCCGACTTCAGAGGGATGGAAGGCTTGGTGAGCCACGGGCGCGGGGACCGATTCCATGTATGTGTCGCAAGGCGCCTCCGACCGCTGCGCCACACGCACTCTTTTGCTGTATGCTCATTAAATTCACAAATCAAGCCATATTAAGTTCATCTGCAGTGTCTTATAAAATCGCGATTACAAACGTTTAGTGGTATGCTCGAGTTCGGGACAGTATATGCTGAGAACATGTTCTGAAAGTTCGTTTAATTTTTATGGTTCGGCCATAGCGTGTCTCAAATTCAATCTTCGCCATAAAATATATATCGTCTATGTGCCATTTGATGTGATGCTATTACTAAGAGCATGTAAGAAAGAAAACCGCAAGCAAGGCTGCTTGTCTTTTGAGCATTCTATGAAATTTTTGAGTTAGAAGAAACTGAACAAACATTTTTGCTTTGCGGGTTCAAAAAAAATAGAGGTACTGAATACAAAGAATACTCGCGATGAAATCTACCACATGCAGTAAGAGTAGTTTAGATGCTTTTGTGAAAGGTAATTTGATAAAGCTTGATGTTTAATACTCTGTATGCTCATCCACGCTCGTGTAGCGTAGTCGTCGGAGGTGCGCTGTAATACAAGCAAGACCTCTATCCCTCTGGAGTCAACAGATTGATATCAGACTTGTTGGAAGGATAGTAGCGCTAGCTCGATACACTCGTTGACCACCGCGAGTCATTGTAAAGGCCAGATATGGTTTCAATCACCTCCAACGATACTTAATGAAATCGAATGCATGACGCATCCCTCAGCGATTGATCAACGCCGAGAGATTTATCCTTTTATCTTTCATGCTCGTCCACAAATTACAGCGAAAAAAACGTTGGAAGCTTTGGTTGGAAGACCAAGTATTGCTAGAATATTACGAGGGCTTAGAATGATTATGAAAAGTAACATATGATACGTCTCGCAATAAATCCCACGACCGACTTTCTATTAACCTCAGCATTGTTCAAGTAATTCTTCGTATTTTCGTTGAGCAAATGCGAGATGTTATTTTATTCTTTATTCACCAACAAGCTGACGTTTCGGCGGATTTCGCCTTCTTCAGAGCCTGTAAAGGTCAAGTTGGCAGCAATCTATTCCGGCAAACACCTCCATAACCAAACAGAGGACTTTGAAACCAATATTTCAATTACATTGAACACAGAATAGTTTCTTCGCACACTCACCGCTTTCAATGAGTCTTCCTTCCACTGAGTATGTCGCGTGGAGACCAGCCGCACAGAATTCACATGGAAGTGTAATGTCGCTGTCGTAATGTCATTACGCTTCCATGTGAATTCTGTGCGATCGGTCTTCACGCGACATACTCAGTGGAAGACTCATAGAAAGCGGCTCTGAGGAAGACGAAATCCACCGAAACGTCAGCTTGTTCGTGAATAAAGAATAAAAATAACACCTCGCGTTTGCTCAACAAGAATACGAAGGACTAACATATGATTTCATTGCCTAATCAGATCTCTGCGGAACTGTTTGAATGAAACGAATCGCATTTCTTCGAAACTTAGCTGAAACTCATATGAATCCGTTCATTCCCAAAAAAAATTCTAGCAGCTATTAATCGAAAAATGGTAGATTTTCAGTCCAACAAAATAGCATATACATAACTAAACAATTGAATTTACAACAGATAAATTTAGCCCACGAACCTTACCGGAAAAAAAGACGAGAGAAACCTTTGCACCAACACCTTCTTATTGATACGGTTATGAGCAGTATTACATTGTCAACCCAATTCGTAGATAAAATACGTAGCTCGTGTTTCAAAACAAGATTGTTGTGGCAGTAACCACCACTACAGTTTCCCGTGAGATGAGATAGTGAAATGATCCGTTTTCTTCATTGCCAGACTCAAAAGAAGGATTTTGTAGACTTTACAAATACATAAAGTGAGGTGAATGAGCGAACGAAATTAAGAGAGACAATAATAGTTAACGATAACTTGATTTATTGTTAAAAAGGTTATAAATGAAGACCTTAACCCTCTGACCAGTGAAGCTCTTTAGTTGACTTCTGTTACAGAAATTCATGAGCACACGAATAAAAGTAGTGTTGTCTCTCCAGCTTTCTTTTTTTTTTAATGAATGAGAGCTTCACTGCTTTACTAAGATGAAGCACTTGCATCCACTTTGTGTTGAACACTTCCATAATGCTTACTTCTTCTTTTGACGTACTAAGGTTTTTCAAACATTATTAGAGTTATATAAAATAAAATTTTCCTTGTCGAGAATCTACATTCTACACGACAAACCACCTCGCGTTTGCTCAACAAAAATACGAAGAATTACTTGATCAATGCCGAGGTTAATAGAAAGTCGGTCGTGGGACAAACCATTCTTTCAACTACGTCACGATATAATCACCTTATCACTGCTGCACCCTCGGTTCTGCTTCAACACTCTGACCAACCTGCTTTTATCAGTTCATATCAGAAGGATCTCATAGGCAGAATATTGAAAAATGATAATGATTGAGTTATGAATAGATTCCTATTCGTGCATCTATCATTACACCAACATTTCACAAATCTCAAATCTGACGAATGGCTCACTCAGATCGTAACGTGGGGATTTTTTTTATGCTTTACATTGCCTGACATCAAGAGTATTGCGCGGATCCCAACTTTTTTTTCGTTCGATTCGTTTTCCTCGCATTCATCGTCCACAAATGTCTTCGAACTTCTCACGTTTGTTTGTTCGGATGCTGCTTGAGGATTGCCAGCTTCTCTATGAATGTCGTTGAATGGTCGTCGAGTCGATTCCCCTAACAATCTTGGAGATAGCCAAGCCAAGGCGTTCCGCTGTGGATTCGAAAAAAGTATTGGGTACGGAGTCGAACCAGAACCTTACTACCTGATGCACTGCATCGCTAACCGCTGCACTGCCTCGCCTCCGTAATGTGAGGATATTCCCTAACCATTCCGAAAACTTCGTATATTTTGTCCCTTCTTTACTTCTTTTTTGTGGAATTGCCGTCAGGATGAATGTTAGTGTCGAACGGAGACTGCTGATCAACAACGATGATAGTACAAAGCAATGACAGCGATCGTTAACTCGTTGTAGAATGTTCATTGACATCTCTCTGATGAACGTAACAGAAATTAAAGGGACGAGAGGAAAACGATCGAATCACACTAAGATAAAACGTACTAGTATTGGTAAACACAGTTATAGACTTAGAGAACAAGTCTACGTTAAATGTATAGAATGTTCATGTTAGGTTCAACCAACACTTGTTCATTGTGAATGAGCTCCCGTTCGTGGATAAACTAAATATCGTTCGATACCCATGTCTCTCATATCACCCATATCTCCTCGATCACTACTAAATCATCCTATAACTGGTTTGAAGACCGTTCAACATCTCATTTTCAAGACATCGGAGGTGTTTTGAGCAATTCGCCATCGGTTCTTGTATCATTCACCATCATTGAAACCGCAATAAGAACATGTATTGTTCTTTTTTCTTCGCTAGGAAACGTTTAGACATCGAATAAAAACTTTCATTTGATGTCTGAATGTTCGTTTACTCGGTCAAATATGCCAAAATCTTAAGTGCAATGGACATTTTTCACACTGTGGTCGCCACGAAGACGTTTGTGATTGGCTGATGATATTCTTTCAGATCACTACTATAACTATTTGCTTTAAAAATATGATCACTAAATTCGAAATTTCCTCGTTCAAAGGAAAAGTGAAAAACACTATACCAAAAATGAAGCGAAAAAAGCGTTACGACTATACACTGAAATCCTTATTGATATGCATCCGTAACCAAACGTGCTCGAATCCAGAAACGCCGCCACATTCACTAGAACCACACGGCCCTCGGAATTCTGGACACGGAACTCGTCGTGGGAGGGCAGTGCGGGACCACGATTTTCTTCTTAAAAAACTTATTCATTGCACTATTACTTCGAATAACCTTACCAGTAGTTATGTAGTATTGAATCAAATGTTGAAGTTCTAGGGCTTCTTTTTTCTCTGCCTAGCGGCGCCAAAGAAACACACAACGTTTTACATCGTAGCATCTCATTTTCTTTTCTTTTCTTTCCTTTTTTTTCTACAACACCTTATTTTTAAATTGGTATTCTGCCATGGTAAATCGATTTTCTAACCATGTAACTTTATCTTTCTTACTAGATGTGTTCGATCGTGTAACAATTTTCCAGTTCTGTTTTTTTGTATCAATTTTTAGCGCGACCGGTTTGTAGTTACTTCTTCTCCTTGGTTTAACCCATCCCATTACTATTGATTGAAACCCTTGTCCTAAAATGGTTAATGCTTAGGATATAAGTATTCCTTTCGAATGTCTACCACAAATGGCGCCGATCATTTGGGCCGGGCTGAGTCCTTAGTGACTTCACTTTCTATTTAGAAGAGAATATCGTTTTTATTGGTACTTCAAGAAAACTACTATGCACAAAAGTTACCGCATGGTCGTCTGCTTAGTTTTTTCCGTCCTTATCTGATAGATGAGTTCAGTATAGGTTTATACTGGAAACTTTTTTTTATTCCTATACTTATCCTATCTTTCGAGAATCCTATATCTTTATAGAGTCGTGAGAGGTATATCAAATTCTGCGAGAAGTAGTTTTTCTTAAGGATTGCTCTTTGTATTTCAGTACCGATATACATGGCGGAAGTTGTACCGCCAGCAACATGGGGTTCTTCAAATGGATCCAGTGACTCACTGGCTGCTCTTGGGTTAATGTTTCTTTTATCAAATAATTTCGTGAATATCATCCTTTCCATTGGAAGTCGCTTAATCGAAAGGTTTAGTGGGGAATCGGTGCCTAAGGAAGTAGCTCTACTTGCTGAGAAGTATCAGTTCTCCATCAAAGATGAACGGAGTGTCCAAAAAGAGGTTCGACTTTCTACTCGTTTGAGTACGTTTTTGAAACCGTCATATGTGTTTTGAATTAGGTCATTGAACTGAAGAAGATCATACGATCAGCTGTTAAGAAACAAATGAGAATCAAAGCCGGATATGTACAAATGCAGGTTTGTAACCTTGTATATTTCATTTCCTGTTCGACATCATCGTCTCACTTCGTTGATTATAGAAAGCAACAAATGGAAAGAAGCAATTGGATTATCTGAAGAGGGAGGTTCGGGATCTGAGCGACCAGATTAGCGACATGCAGGATGATCTTCAAATTCTCGAAGTTTACGATACGGGAGCATTTGGTGAGTTAAGCCCTCTGTTAACTTTAGAAGCCGAACAATCTAGATTTAAGTCTAAAACGGCAGAAATTATAGCTATAGAATAAGCAGTTTGAATCGCACAGCTTCCGGATTTTGCTGACTATGTTTCCATATTTTATAAGATTTTAACGTGGAAAGTGGTTTAGAATGAGGATATGTTCTTATACGTGTTTGTGGTTCGAGCCATGTACAGACTTAATGGTAAAGGGGAATGGTCCGATGCAAACCCTTACCAGGTGCTGTAGGTATCTTGTAGGTATAGATATAGGCTGTAGGTATAGGTAGGTATCATATTTAGTCCATTTCAATCAGAGATAAGAAGTTTAGGTTTTCTTTTAGGAAGAGCATTTTATCCTAACGTGTTAATACGGCGGTTTTGTTTGTAAATTGTCTAAGGGAAAACGAGTTAAACGAGTTGAATGAATTTTGTTACTGATACTTGAGTGAAAACAGAAGTAGCTGCTTCCTTCCTTATCTAGACGATTAAACAATTTTACCTTCTTCCGTTATAATGTTGTTCTTTTATTATCTTCCCTGTTATTCATATACCTCCTAACGGTTTAGCGCCTCATCATGACTGGGTGATGTTCCTGGTTGTCGGGCTGCGATGTACAGCAGGGAGAGTCATCCCCAACAGGATCTCCCAGTCTGAGAAGGAGTCCGGCGTTTCCATCAGGAAATCTATGTATATATATATATATATATATATGTATATTTATATACTCTCCCAACGTTTCGTTGACTCATCGTGGGTGGGAGGTGTTCCTGGATGTCGGGCTGCGATGTACAGCGACGAAATTCGTCTCCCCAGCTGGGTCTCCAAAGCTGAGAAAGAGTCCGCCGTTCCCGTCAAGAAGTCCAGCTAAGAGTAAACCAATGCCGGGATCCACCACCGTCCTTGTAGCAAACTAGTCGTATGGTGGCAAATCGTCCTCTGATCCACAAGAGCGGCAACTGCCTATGATGGCGACGTCCTGGGGCAGACTTTGGCCTGGCTGATCTCAGGACTCCAGAGAAACACAATGGGTAAGCCACCAAAACTCCGAAACAATGGAAATCGTAGTGGGGTCCGCACAAACAGTAATGACGGGTCATCCAATTGAGAATCATGTAACGTGATACGTTTTGGATTTATGCTTCGAAATTTCATCGCTTTTCTTTTGTAATGAAATCGTTTTGCCTAGATGTCGATGTCTAGATTTCGATTATCGCGAAAACATTCTGTTGTCCTTTCCAATTTTCTGACGCTTTGGTACCTCTTAAGTTTTTGTCACACACGAATGCACCGGTCTGTTCATGAATTTAGCTTTTAATGTGAAATGATTCGACTATTGTCTATCATCCTTTGGATTCAATTACTTTTTTTATTGTAGGAAAACGTTATAGTAGCAATCCGAAGCACAGGATCTTGTGGTGAACGTTGAATTTCAAAGCATGGTACGCATAACCTTTTCGCAAACACGGATCAGACCTGCCGCGAAATATTGTACATCACAAAGTGGTATAGATGTAGCATAATTGTTTCTTCCATGTGTCGTTTATTCCACTGCGAAAGTTCTAACCGGTTGGACGCATTTTTTTACTTCGTTCGTTTCGCTGGAATCGACTGCTTGTTTTGGTTGCTTTATGGATTATGCTGCAACACTCGATAAGTTTGCTTTGCCCTGGGGACTTTCCAGCCACTGCGATCTCACGCGAGTTCATGCCATGCATTGAATGACCATCATACTCTTTCTCGCCCCTATATTGAATATGCTACTCTGGCGTGCATTGGAGTGCATTTGAGAAAAGGCGAACATTCGTTAAGTGTTTGTTATTACACTGTTTATTAAAATTAGGATCCTTCTCTCATGGTTCAACTGACCGACGCTCTATTAACCATGGCATTGGCAACTTATATTATCGAGCATTGTGGTATACTACGGACATTCCTTGACGAACCTACACGAGGTGGTTAACTCGCATTTTGATGTTCGATTGCTAGCGTTTCGGCTATTTTGCCTTCGTTAGAACCTGGACGTATCGTTATACAACCTTATCTTTCTTCCGTAAATGTTTTGTGGTCTTGATAAAGACGGAATCTATAGAACACCCTAGGCTGTCACTGAAATAGTATACATTTTCGATGTCTAAGAAATGAAATCACCTGTATGCTGTTCACATTGGATGACAAATGAAATTACACAGATTAAGGAATTAAGCAGTGACACGTTACCATGTTAAATGTGTTAAACCTTTCTCCAGAAAGCTCTTGAGGCGTTCTGGATAAATTTCAAAACTCCAACAGTGAATAGGAGAGATGAATGCTTCACTATCATATATCTGTGTGGAATTCGTTCATCATACTGTGTGAGAAACGTACAGATGTCTTTTACTGTTTAAAAACAAAAGCGTTGAGTAGATTTTACCGAACCAGTGTCTTTGTTTTTCATTAATAGCGCAGAATGTTCACCGTGTGATGGAGGTAAAGCAATGTAACGGTACGCCTAGGTTCTGAAAATGGCGAAGTCGCCGAAATGCTATCCATCGACCATGAAACTGTCTGTTAACAACCTCATGTAAGCTCATCAAGGAAAGTTCTTGAAGTAGTATAAATTGCCAACAGAATATTGGTGTGGAAATATTATTTCAAAGTTTTTATACAAAAGTTTAATTGTGCCATAAATTCCGGTTATTTTATCTCGTGCTGTTGAACTGGCAAGTACACTTAAACTTGCATATTTTTTTTCTTGACAACAAGACAAAATCGTTTTGTATGTGGTTCAGCTACACATCAGGACCGAATAGCCTTAATTGCCTCATGTCGCCTGTATCGTTTGCGCTTCTGTTAATCATCAAGCACCTGAAGCGGTGGAACTAGTCATCTTGGTTGAACCTACCTTGTTCAGGAAATGAACCTTTGCTGTGAATCACGGTTTAGTACCCATGGGCAGTATCCTGCAATTACGATGTGAGAAAATATGGGCGGAGCGTTTCTTTTTTGCATAGAATGACGTATATATGCTTTCCAAAACGTTTTTTTGAATTCGTTTATATCGTTTGATTACCGAGATTTTCCAGTAACCGAATGTTTTATCTTTTAAACATGAAGATTCCGAAATCTTTATGCGTTATAAAATGGTTGCTTTTGTAATTTATTTAATAAGAGACATAATTAGTATACATTTCTAGATGATGACGAATCACGATGCGATGACCCAATTTTGGGAGCTGTTGGTGTTCCGATTGAACTGCCGGAAGATATTGCCATTAATGACGGTGGTCATCACTTAGTCGAAAACTCGAAATTGTCTGCTCTTCAGGCAAGGGAACTACAAATTCTTTCTTATTCATCTTCTTAGGATATATGGACCTTCTACATAGGGTTGTATTATACAAGGATTGTCCAGTTGTGTGATCGAATAGTTAATATCGAAGCTTATTGTTCATTGATTGTTTTTTCATTTATTTTATTACTGTTATAGAAGGATCTTGCGAAGGAGATGAAGGTGAAGGATGGTTTGGAAAAGTTTATGTCTTCAAATACTTCAGCCAGCAGAAGATATCTGGAGGATTCCAAGAATATGCTTGACGTCTGTTCTCTAATACTGGTATCTCTTATGATATTTTAGATATTGCTACATTCAGGATAGCAAAGCAAAAATAGCTTTGTTGCGGATGCAAATTGAGAAGATTGCACACCAAGGACATGATATTCATTCAAGCACTGGTAATTTACTGCTGGATTTTTCAAAAATCCTTCTGACCTTTAGTACGTTTGATAATTACAGGAAGGGAAACAAAGTCGCAGCTAGATATGGTCATTGATGATCTTTTCTTCCGTTTGTGCAAAGAAGCTGCGATTATAGATGGAGCGAAAAACTTGATAAAACTCCTTCGGGCTCAGAGGAAAACTGATCACAGAAGTCTAAATGATGTAAGCTAGAGTATTTGATTTAGACATTCGTTGAACTCAGTCGGTCTCAAAGATGATTGTTTCTATTCATTTTTAAAAGGGTCGTATTTCACTACCAATTATCTCTGCAACTTTGTTTTTGTATACTAATTTAACTTATATTTCTAGGCTCAGCAAACGCTGATACTATCCGAAGAAAAGCTTGATCTCATACTCATGGCGTTGAAGAAGTATATGTGAGTCCAGTAATTCCATTTATATTACTTTTTTATAATCTTCACGCATGAAAAGCTATAGCTAGCATGTCCAGTGATCAGCTTCCTCCTGAATCTAATCGTCGTCGAGATCTACTTACTGAAATGGAAGAAACTCGTATGCCATCTTCGTCACCTCATGCACGCTTGGTGGAACGTCGTTTCAGTCCTCCTGGATCGGCTCCTAGCAGTCCGCCTTGCGTAAGAAAGCCTGCCTTTGCCCATATAGTCTTCCATTTCTCAAGCACATTTCGTTGCAGGAAAGTCCCTCGAAAACTGCAAGCTTGCCTCGTAGCGCATATTGTCGACGCCTTAGTACTTTGCCGCCTTCTTTGGCTGTAAGCGGCAGATTAGAGGTAGCTTGATTTACAGCTTCTTTTACTTTTTAATAGTAGCCTTTTAACAACTCTCTTTTTTCGTGATAAATGGGATTTTCTAGTCGGGTTTTCCTATGGATATCGAAATCTCGCATGTTCGGAAGTGTCTTTCATTTCAGTGCGGTGTAAACGTTCTTTTCAGGTACGGTTAATAGGATGTCAAAACCTAATCAGTGAAGTACCTGGTCGTCTTGCTCGAGCCGAAGCCTTAGGTGCAACAGCGTCAAGCTCTTTAACTACTGAGACTGCGACTCGTACCAAAATTCGAACATCATCTACTCGTGGTAGCAGGTTGTGGTTAATAATTATAGTTTTTCTCATGATTTCCTAATTAACTCACTTTAAGCATGTATTTACAAAACATGTATTTTTTTAAGCATGTTTTATGTGTAAAATACTGACTTGCAATACTACCTTGGTGCAAAACTTTTCAGTGAAATAATAAGTGGTGAAACTTGCACATCTTTGCCAATAAAGTGTAACTTTGTTTTACTACAGTGGAAAAAGATGGTTAGACTCTGGAATAATTTCTAATGGTGGGTAATGCGATATCGCAGCTGATCTCGTTAAACTTCTGCAGCGTTAGCTGCGAGAACTTTGATTGGAGATCGTTCTCACCAGAATTACTTGATATTTACTACAATACTTATCTGCCTTGATGGTTTGGCGAGGATTCAAAGGGTTGTGAGTGATCTCATATGTAAACCCACCAAAAATTCATCGTGTCTACTTTTGATACAAATCTGGCCAAAGAAACCTAGAGCACACTTCGTAGACTTTACAACATGCCTTCTCCGAATTCTTTCAGGAAAATCGTCGTTTCGATAACTTCAGAGCCGTGTTTGCCGAAATAAATGAACGGCTGTCTAGTTGCCAGAATTATATAAGCACCTATAGTTCCTACTCATATTAATGATATGTTTTGAATGATTTAAGTGAATGACTGTAATTGCAATGATTTAAATTTCACGGTTCGAAACCGATGTTTCTTTCGCGTCAATCTAGTATTATTGGAGGCATTCCTTTAATTCATAGTTTTGTTGGAAATTTAAAGTAGACTTACAGTGCTTGAATTTGAGATATACTGGCTCTTGGCAGTTGAGAACAAATTTTTTTACGATATAAAGAGCTAATCATGACTCTACTTTTGAAACAGAGTTAGCAGTTGAAATTTATGTTTAGTTATGATTGGTGATACAGTTTACGGCATTGGTTGTTATAAGCTATGGCTAACTGTCAGTATGATAACACTTTCCTGTTGGCTTTAAATCCAAAATATAAATTTGATAACTACATTACACATCCGCAAGGATGTTGAAATATGGGCTAAACTCGAAACGTCAATTGTGCTTCGAATCTGTGACTACCTTTTCCAACGGTTACATTTTGGTTTTGACTTCAGCTTAACTTGATTCAATCCCGATTTGTGTTTTCTAGGTTATTCCCGTTGACGTATGATTGGTGATAACATCCTTAAGGTTAAAACTAACTGAGAGAAAGGCAAGGCAAGCATCTTGATGCGGTGGATGGCACATGAGCTCCCGGAAAGGGTGTTCGCGAGTTCGATGCACCACTGATGTTCCAAGTTTTATTCATATCTGAGAGTCCTTTTGGTTGTGTTCCAAATAATATCGTGCCATGAAAAAAAGAATGGGCAGTAAACAAAAGCGATATTTCATATCACCCTTCTTGCTTATTGCAAACTACAATTTTTAAGTATTTATTTGAGTACTTGGTACTTTCATAGTGTCCTTCCACGTCAGTCCGATGAGGTGATCGCTTTGTTGCGTGTGGATAGCCGAATAGTTGGACACACTGAAGCCCGTCCACTTAGTCAGCAGGCATGGGATCAACGTTTCAGCATTGATTTGGATCGGGTATGTTTTACGTTGAAAAAGACTAGCTGTGTAAGCTAAATACGACACATACTGTTGCCGTCACTAGCTTGCTGCGCTTCCTTTCTAAAGCATAAAAGTATATTATTGATAGCTTTTGTAACGAGTATACATCTGTGATCAATTGTTTCTTTCTTTTTCAGTTGCGTACAGACAATATATATCATGTATCACCTGTTGTCCCGTTGATCATCGAGTGACTCGAACGAGCCGCTCGTAAGCCTTCTGTCTCTCCGTGTTGCATACAACAGTAGCTCAGTGGGTTCTGCTTGCTCTAGGGACTTGTTAAGCGTTACATCTTCCTTCTAGTGTTTTTATCAGAAACTCTGACCATTGAGTTAGTTGTCTTTCTGCAGTATCTTTGATACCACGAGAAAGCCAGCCGCTAACGGCTCTTGTCCATCGCTTGTCATTCATACGCATTACGTGACTGCCCCACCTATCTTCGACTGTCTAGCGTATAGAACGGCATCTTTGATTTTTGATCGTTGACGCAGATCGGAGCTTCGGATCCCATCGGATCTTACTTGTATGCAACGGGATACTCTTCTCATCGTCCTTTCGACTGAGCGTTCAATAACGCTGAGTGACCTTTCATCCTGCTTACGCAGCGACCAGGTTTCTGACGCATACGTTAGGGCGGGAAGTACCGTTAGTCGAAAAGGTGCGCACGGAGTCGGGTGTTCTTTGTTCTGTTCACTACATCCTCGATGTTCTTGAAAGCTCTCCAAGCCTCTAGCTTCCTTCTGCTTAACTTTGGAGCAAAGTCGAGTCGAACGTGTTGATTTTCCGAACTAGATAGACGTTGCTTGAACATTGAGAGATATTCGTACTATTGATTGTCAATGAAGCATAGAAAATCAGTTCCTTCTCCATGAGCATCGTTTTGGAGAGATTTAGTCAAGGATCTTCCCACAAACCTAATCAAAGTCGGGAAGCATTTCTTTCGTCCGGTCAGTGCTTAGCATTGTGAAAACGATGTCATCAGCAAAGCGAAAATCGTGTGGTTGCCGATGAGTCTTGTTATCGTGTGGATGTGGTCCATTGTGCTGAATCGTTTTCGAAACCCTGCTTGCTCACATGGCTGTCCTTTGTCTAGTGTTCTGTCAATCCTGAGGAGTGAAAAGTTTGTAGGCGACAGGTAGCGAGCAGATTGGGCGACTGTTGCCAAAATCGTGGAGATCACCCTTTTTGGGCAATAACAGGAACTTGCTTTTCTTCCATTAAATGGGTATATATATGTATAGATGTACATATACATATATATATATATGCATATATGTTATATGAAAGGCAAAAGGATTGAAAAGAAAGAATGAAGTTTTTGGCGTTGATCAACCTGAAAGGTGCGCTAAGCATTAGAGTTTATTAAACACTGTTAGAGGTGATTGAATGCATATCTGTCTTGTACAATGACTCGCTATGCCTTGCCGATGCATCGAGTCAGTGCTCATTTTCTGCAATACAAGTGTCATACCAATTTGCCGACCTCGGAGGGATGGAAGGCTTGATGAGTATGGGTTGCAAGATCGATCCCATGTGTATTGCAGGGCGCGTGTAACCACTGCGTTACACACGCCCTCTACATATATATATGTATATATATGTACTTATTCATGTGTATGTACGTGCATATGTATGTGCGTGCACATGCATATGTGAACAAATACGCGTGCATATATTTATACATATATATTAAACATACCAACTTTTGCAAAAGTTGGTCCTAAGATGAGGTCGAGCTATATCGACACTCGTAGCTGATAGGAAGACAAAGCAAAAGCCAGTGGTGTAACAATAACACGTGAGCACCCGGTAAGGACAATCGCAGTTCGCTCTCCCCTGCTGACCAAGTTTTGCAAATATCTCAGAAACGTTGTTGAATTTCACATAACACCCTGCCCATGAACAATTGTAGTAGGTAGTAAATAAAAGGTTAACATTGTATTGGCTTGCTGTATTGAAATGAAAGCTGGTGATCTGAATCGCATAGAATATATTTTTGTTGTCTGTTCACGATATGTTCTCAGTGGATCATCTATGTTTCTAGCTACCGCGTTTACGTTGGAGGTTTCAGAACTTTGAATTTTGTCCAACGATTTGCTGAAAGCTTTATTTATCAGAAAGTTTAAGATAAAAAGTGTTTTTAGTAGGGTTACACACACTCTTAAAACAATAGAGGAGTTTTTCTCCTAAAAGTGCTTGGTGTTCTCAACTCCTCATCTCTATCGATCGGAATAAGATCGGCGATCGTCGAAAAACTACAAAATTATATTAGTACTGTCTTTATTGGGAACAAAATCTATCATCCACTGTTTGTGCAATAAGCTGGGAATCGTTGCTTGACAATTTTGGACGAAAACGTCCTTTACAGTACCTTTTTTTTAGATCTAAAGCCATGACGGTTTCGCGGCTGGACCAGTGGAATATCGGCATTTTTTCGTTGTCTGTAGATTTTCCTATCTTTTGAAACCAAAATATGGGAATTTTTCAATCTTTAGAGGACTTGAGAAGTTGTTAGTATAAACAGTTTTTAGAAGAGAATTTGTCCTATCTTTCTATGAGTATTAGTGGTCCATTATGCAAATATAACGCTATCAGTACTTGGATTTTTTTGTCATGTTACGATGAATCAATTTCGTTTTTTTTTATAGATGTGCGTTCGATATAATAACCATCGAAATTGAAGTAAGGTTATACTTAGTTGTTGGTCAAAATACCGTTCAATGAACTTTTTCCAGGAAAGGCTTTTTTAGATTATTATGTGGAGGGAATAACTTTTCTGTTGCCACGGCTACTATTTCGATCTGCTTTAGATTGGCTATCGAATGAATATTTACAGTGTTTTAAAAAAAGTTCTCGAACATACTGAACTGTAAATGGACGCCATAATGTCCAAAATTGTTCTCTGCGCCAGGCAAGTGTGGACACTATAGTGTCCATAGCGGGCCGTATGGGTTAGCGTAATGTATTTTGTTTCACTTACTTGATATTTGAAAGACCCGTTCTCAGTGTTTGTGCGGGCCCCAGCATAATTTCCTTTTTCCGGAAATTTGCTGGCTTAGCCATTGTGGTTCTCTGAAGTCGCGATGACAGCCAGGCCAATGTCGTTGTTATCACCACGAGCAGTCGCAGTCTTTGTGAATCAGCGAGGTTTGCCACCATGCGACTTTAATAACAGGACGGTCGTGGATACTGATATTGGTTTACTCGTAGCTAGGCTTCCTGATATAAACGCTTTTGTTTTATTTCTTGAAATTGTTTTTCTGTGACTAATGGTGCAGCATCAGTATTAAGGAGATTGCCAAAATATCACAGAAGGAATAGAGTTTGTGCAACAGAAGAAACAGTCGGAGGGAAGTGCACTGAAGTGCATGTATTTATCTAAAGTTCCTACACATCTACGCACATAATGCAGTGCAAATAGTCGCTAATAAGTTGAAATACGGATGAATGACCCACATGAGAATAACGGTTTAGTCTCCATTCATTAGTGTTTTGTGCAACGGATACTGCTCGCTATATTGATACAGGTTGTGATGATTGGAAGGTATGGTCATCATAGGCATGAATTTTGGAGTATTTATATGGCGAAGCTGCGTTAGTCGTATCAATTGACTGTTTCTAGGATCTCAGCATTTTAATACTTCTTGATTTAGTTAGTGTATAGTTTTTCCCACTTTTTTAGTCAAAGGAGCTGGAGATCGAGGTGTTTTATCGCGACTCTCGGTCCATGTGCGCTTTTACAGCCGTCAAGTTAGGCAACTTCGTTGAGCCTACTGGACAAGCTGGAATGGTGTTGCAGCTGGAGCCTCATGGCGACTTATTTGCTGAAGTTTGTGGAAAACTTTTTAAGTTGTTTGACAATATATATGCTTATATCATTCCAAATTCTTTTCAGTTCAAGTACTTGAATCCAGTAATCAGTCGCAAACCCAAACTGGAACGTCAGAAAAGATTATTTAAAGTGAAAGGTTAGCAAACTGATTAGTTAGCATCATTGATGGATTAAAGGCTACCATTTTACCAAGTTACCATTTTCCATCACCTGATTGCGGGTGCTTGTAGAGGATTTCACAGCTCTCGGCTTCTGAAGCGTGTACCGTATTTTCTTGTAGTCACCCATGCTCGTGCTCTTTTTTTTCCATTTACATCGTTGTATCTTTCTTCTAATTTCCAGTATTTCATAATGCTTTTTCTATTTTTGTTTCTAAGCGTTTTTCATTGTTTTAAAGAGCGCAAGGATATGGCTGGCGCTAAAAAGCAGTTAGGAGTACATGCTCTATCGCGAATGCTCAAAGGCAGAGAAGACGAGCCTATTGTAGATTATGGCATAGAAAGACCTGGTGGGGTTTTCTGTTAAAATTTTTGTTTTCATTGTTCTATTATTGAGTGAAACTTTTGTAAACTTTTTTCTTTGGCTGGTTTCAAAATTTTTTATAGGGGTATTGTCGACTACAAAGTCATCTTCGACTGTCGCTAGAGATATGGTGAAGGACCGTTCAAGTGTTTCTGGTGATGTCTTTTTCAGGTTGATTGGTTTACCTCATATGATTTCTGAGTGTGTTGCTATATATTTTTTGTTTTATATCAAATTTTGAAGGTCATATCCGCATGCGTCGCCATCATCTTTAGGCGGCGAGCGCTACAATGCGACTGTACAAACGCCACCACTTCTGTACAACGAGGTACAAATAGGCAGTTAGTGACTTTTTCTGTGAAACTACTTTAGTATGGGACTGCGGGCATTCAGTATTTAAAAAACTGCTGATGTGTTCTGCTGTGCATTTCTATCTTACAAGACTACATTTTTAGGACAATTTTTCCTCCGGTGACAGTCGCAGGAAGTCTGTTCCTCCTATCTCTTCTGATTCTATATGCAGCACAAGCGAAGATCCTTTTGTAAAGAGACCACAGGTGATATGTTGGGAAGTACTACTTTGTTCGATAATCCTCTAGATCACTGTACATGTACGTTCAGGCTGTCCTATTGGAAAATTTTTTGAATGACATAGGAAAAGCGCTTGAGATAGATGGATCTATTAACTACAACGTAATGCGTTATGCATTATAACTTGTTCCTAAGATTTCAGTGCTCTCTTCCTTTTCGTTTCGTTCGTATCTAACACTGCCGTTTCAGGAGTACTTTCAAAGTCATCGTAGTAAGGGTCGTTATTTCTCGTTGTTTTTTTTTATCCAACGTGCTACTTCGTGTGTGAAAAATCGAACAACACAAGTCGGAGCAGAATAAGATCTGAACGCCTGAAGAACATTTCACCAGCCCTCGTAAACACATTGGCTCTGCTCTTGACACGTTACCCGTTAGAATTTAAGGTGCCTACTCAGTGGAAGACTAGCGAGACCGTGGTATTGTTCGAGAAGGGCTACTTCCACGATATGGGCAATTATCGCCCAATCTGCTTACTATCTGTCTTCCACAAGCTTTTCACTCATGTCTTCCTAAACAGGATTGATAGAACAGTGAACGATGGCCAAGTGAGAAATCAGGGTTCCGAAAAGGATTCAGTACGATAGACCACGTCCACACGATAACAAGACTCAATGAAGTATCGCGAGAGTACCAAAGACCTCACTGTCTTACTTTCATCGATTTAAAGGAGGCTTTTGACTCAGTGAGATAGCAGCAGTCATGGAAGTCCTCGAAAATCAAGGAGTCTACTGAGTACCTAAACATTCTTCGTGAGCTGTACAAAAACTTCACAACCAAGATATCATCATTCTCCAGCGATATTGTCATTGATGTCAAAACAGGAGTTAAGCAAGACGAAACCTCCTCGCCAAAATTATCTACTGTCACCCTTTAGAACGTCATGCGAACACTGGAATGGGATAATATGTAAGTGAAAACCAATAGTCGGCAATTACTCCATCATCGCTTTGCTGATGACATCGTCCTTATAACACCAAACATTAGCAGCAAAGCGAATGGTTGCCGACTTTGATAAAACCTGTGCAATGATTGGTCTTGGACTAAATCTTACAAAAACGATGTTCATGAAGAACGGATTGTTTCGTATGCGCCGTTCACGCTCAAAGGACTGAATATCTCTGAATGCTCCAGTTACGTCTGTCTAAGTCGGAAAATTAAACTGATCAACGACTTATTTCCAGGTGGAAGGTAGCGGCTTGGAGAGCTTTCCAGATTATCGGGGATGTAGTGGAGGGAACAAAGAACACCCGACGCCTGCCCACCTTTTCGACTGTACGATATTTCTTGCCCTAAGGTATGTATCAGAAACCTGGTCGCAGGGTGAGTGTGATGAAGCATCACTCAGCGTTAGTGAACGCGCAGTTCAAAGGACAATGCTAAGAGTGTTCCGTGTCACACAGGTGAGGGAAGGCTTCGACCTGCGTCAGCTATCAGAAGTAAGATATGCCGTTCTATACACCAAGCTTTTGAGGATAAGATGGGCCGGACACGTAATGCGTATTAACGGCGACCGATGGATAAGAGACGTTTTTGTCTGGATTCCTCGGGATCTCAAGCGTAGTGCAGGAAGACCACCGACTCGATGATCAGAGTTCTTCACGAAAATCCTAGAAGAAAGGTGTGATGGTCTAGGAGTCCCTAAATCGAACGGAACCCACTTCGGTTGTTCTTGAATGCGACAGAGAAAAATGAAAGATTTAGTGGCGCCCTTTCGAGGCACTCGACGATAAATGGACATGTGGTGGTGGTGGTGTTTTCGAAAACGATTCTCCACGAGTAACTTACTGTACAGTACAGTAGCATGTGTGAATTTTGTTTCTTATGTATTAATCTGGAGAAGCAGAAGGTTAGAGTCCATCTCGTGAATCCAGCTCTGTCAGTGAATTAGTTCAGGTTGGCTTATGATTTGCGTTAGTCTTATCTTCTGTTCGGCATCACATCAAATACCACCATGAAGGTTATTTCGTAGAGTTGTTTTAAATCTTTGGTGTTATACCCGTCGCTCTTACTAATGTATCTTTTTTACTCTTACTCTACTTCTTATCTCAAATGTTACGATGTTTGATTTTCACTGTTCTCGTATTTTTTTTTTCGTGAAACTAGGTAGGTTAATTGAATTAAAGTGGTTTTGAACTCTGGAATCGGCCGTTTAATGTTAAAGTGCCATGATTTCTACTTATTTCCTTCGGCTATTATGTTAGCCGTTAAGAGAATCTGTATACATTCTAGCCTTTGAAAGCTCCTAAGCAACCACCTCCTGCTGCACCCGTCTTGTCCAGCGGGACTAGTTTATCTATCAATATGTTCCGAATGGTTAGTGTTCTTGGGCGAGGCCACTTTGGAAAGGTGACTACTTTTTTTGCAGCTTTACAGTTAGTTTCGTTGTTTGCTTTAGCTACTGTTTCATATTGTTCCAATCGTCAGGTGATTTTGGCTCAGTATAAACCGAGCATGACGTATTATGCTTTGAAAATACTCAAGAAAGGAGATATTCTTGGAAGGGACGAAGTAGAGTCCCTCATGGTTGAAAAACGGATCTTCGAGGTACGTAGTTAAATTTATGATCTTTTTTCCCTTTTGCTTACTCCAAAAAATTGAGACCGTAAGAAAAAAGTAAATGTCTTCTACCTAAAAGAGTGTCCTGCTGTAATCGGTACTCCTATCACAATACGTGGGCTTGTTATGTCGCTTCTGTTATAATGCCTTTGCTTGTCATTTCTTTCCAATCTTGATATTCTATCCATAATGATTCATAATTAGATAGTAAGTTTTAGCGATGGTTTACCTCAGTTTTCGAAAGTAGCTGAAACAAATACATTTACTGTTCATTTTATGACCATGATGTACCAAGTGTGCAATACTTAATCCTTACAAGTTTTTTTTTTGTCAATTTTTGAACTTTCGTTTGAGGTTGCCTCTCGAGCTCGCCATCCTTTCCTGGTTAATTTATTCGGTTGTTTCCAAACGGAGGAACATGTGTTCTTTGTCATGGAATATAGGTTATCTTTCATTCCTCGTCTTTTCGTTCGCTTCACTATTTCGTAAAATTTGGCAAAATTTAGTATGGGAGGCGATTTGATGCGGCACATCCACGACGACATATTCAGTGAAGAAAGGAGTTGTTTTAATGCAGCATGTGTTCTTCTGGGATTAGAATTCCTTCATAAGAACAATATTATTTACAGGTGCTGTTAACACTGTTTCTGTCTTAGAAGTTGGGCAGAAATGTCATGTTGAAGCTTGCTGATACGATTTTATTTTTCATAATGTTAGGACTTAATTTTTCAGAGATCTGAAGTTGGACAATCTTCTGTTAGACAAAGACGGTTTCGTGAAGCTGGCAGATTTCGGGTTGTGTAAGGAGGGAATGGGGCCTACTGATAAAACTAGCACTTTCTGCGGCACACCGGAGTTCCTTGCACGTCAGTTTTTTTTTGTACTTTTAATTTAGAAAGAATATAGTTTTGAGTTTAGGCGATATTCTTTTCTTGCGCAAAAGGTTAGAACTTATCGAAGATGTTTTCCAGCTGAGGTTCTAACCGAATCGTCCTATACGCGAGCGATCGATTGGTGGGGTCTGGGTGTACTGATTTTTGAAATGCTGGTTAGAATGACTTTTTTGTTTTCCGTTTGTGTTCGCTTTGGTTAGCTCCTAGTGTTATTAATACAGCAGATGTTGCAGGTAGGAGAACCACCATTCAGCGGTGATGACGAAGAAGAGATTTTTGACAGCATTGTGAATGATGAAGTGCGCTATCCAAGATTTCTTTCCATCGAAAGCATTTCGATTATGCGTCGAGTATGTTGGTTTCACTGCTTTTTCTTCTCTTTGTTTCACATTGCTTTCTTTTCGGATTTTTTAAATAAGTGCATTATACGGATTTATTTGCATTTTTCTTGTATTTTTTCTCTTTTATCTTTTGGTTCTTCTGCAGTTACTAGTTTCTAGCTCATGAGAAAGAATCCTGAGAAGAGACTTGGCAGTGGAGCGAAAGATGCCGAGGAGGTGAAGATGCAACGATTCTTCAAAGTGAGTCTGAATTTCTGTTCTATTTCAGTGCTTGTATAATTAACTCTTATCTGTTTACAGTTAGATTTCATTCATTCTGCTAGGTTTTATTGTACATTATGAACTACGATACATACATTTCAGCATATAAATTGGCAGTGGGATCGCCTACTTCGTAAGGAAATTCCTCCGAAGTTCATCCCTCAAGTCGTATGTTTCTAGTTCTTAGTTGTTTTCAAGAAAAAAAAAAAACAAAAAATTTCCTTCGTGTCGTAAGTAGAGATGCTAATTAATGTTTTGATGAAAATGTCTAGTATAAGATTGATTCCCCAAAGCGGTATACGAAAGCTCTTTATAGTTTGTAGTTACTTGGATGAGCTCTGTGTTCTCGTTAGTAACCAGGTTTCTTATTCATTGGTTACTATTGCTTATTTCTCATCTATTGAATGAATAATGGGAAATTCTGTAGAGCCTTGTACCTTGGTACGGTATTATTGTTGTTAACCTTGTCATCGGAAATACTACTTTATCTTCATTGTAGAGAAATCCGGAGGATGTATCGAATTTTGACGAGGAATTCACGAAAGAGAAGCCACGTTTTTCATCTGCAAAAGGCAAACATGTGATTACAGAAGCAGATCAGCAACTTTTTACAAATTTTGATTTCTCATTACTTGTTTGAAGAATTTGATGCAATTGTATTCATATTCTCACTGGTAGGAGTCGCCCTTCAAAATTTGCCTTGACGTCTCATAACTGTTGCTCACCATTTAGTTGTACACAATACTTCTCGAATCCGGCCTAACTACATTAACTCCCCATAGGATTTTTGCGCATGGAAATGCTTAACGTCGCTTGTTTTTCAATTCTGTAAGATTCGAGACTTGTATGTGCATTTTCCGACAATTTTATTGGTTAACTATTATAAATTTAACATCTAGGATAATGGTAGTATGTCTCTTGAATTCTTAGCGTAGTTCGAATGGTGTATCATATGGCATAGAGCTATTTCTCAGTTCTACTTCTAGGCTTAGGTGCTTCCGAAAGTGCTGCTGAGTGTTCTCATTCAACGTTCGTTACTTCCATCACCATATAGCAGCAACGCAATTATTTATGCTCATCTATGGAACTGCTACAATATTGCTTTTGTATTAGATTGCCTGCATATATTACCATTTGGCAGGAAATCCAGTGAACCAGCTAGTATTTTCAGTTACTACTTCGGTTGCATTTGATTTGTTGCATAAAGTGTTCCTCCTGCCAGAATGTATAGTCGATTCGGTTCAGATCATCATCATAGCTCCTTTCATAACACCTGTGAAACACGTTAACTATGTTACAGTATACTACAAAGGTGTTAGAATGCCGAATGAAGATGACGAGAATCCTCCTTTGAAATCAACAGGATTTTGGGTACGCTTCTCCTATTTCTGCCTTGTGTATCTTTTGGTGTCCGTGGCAAACGCATCCGGTGACAAGTTCTTAGCTCTCGGTTATAGTATGTCGTCCACGCTGACAATGTTTGCCGATTTTGTAAGGTTATACAGTGGTTTTTCGTAGTTAAAAATGATGTATTGGAGCATCATCATTGCTGTAGTAGAGATTTAATGAACTTACACGGATATTTGGATGGCCCGCCTTCACTGATTGTGTGGACTCCAGCATATTTTTCTTTTTCCGGAAATTTGCTAGTTAAGCCATTGTGGTTCCCTGGAGTCGAGATGACAACCAGGCCAAAGTGTGCTCCACGTCGTTATCACCACAAGCGGTCGCAGCCTTTGTGAATCAGAGCGAGATTTGCCACAATGCGACTTGTTTGATACCATGTCGGTGGTGGGTCCTGGTTTTAGTTTATTCTTAGGTGGGCTTCCTGATGGCCTGATTATGGGAACGCCGGACTCCTCAGCTTGGGACACCCTGCCGGAGTGATGAATCTCCCTCTGTATATCGCAGCCTTACACCCAGGAACACCTCCCAGCTACGATGAGAGTGAGGCCTTTGGGAGGCTTCATGAATTTATTAGTATTAAAGTGAATGTGTCAGGATTAGTTCTTTTACAGTCGTTTTCATATCTTGAGCTCTATTTCAAAACTCAGTGAGAGTAGTGAAGTGTCTACCTTTGCACTCGTGAACAACAACGTTGTGTTAGAAAGGTGCAGACTTAACCAAGGGTGCATGGTGCTTATTTGAAAAAACTGGATGATTTTTAGATTTTAGTGGATCAAACTTATCTTTATTACATCATATTGTGATGATACGACTACCACTTCAGATATTCAAGAACCCTGATCCAGGTTTTTTCGTTACATCCGTCTCGATTGCCACAAACTTCATAATCTCTAACATGTTCTTATATGGTCTTACTGGTCGCGCGAGGCTTTCATAGTGAGTGATTCTGAAAGATTACTGTTTTTTTTTCGTTATTGGTTGTTAGTGACTTTTGGTCATTGGTCTTTACTGCGTTTTGGATAATTGTTGACCCAGCAACTTTTTGGGCCTCATCCCTAAACATGATTGATGATGTTAAATTTGGATTGAAGAAGCAATCTGTGGTTTTCTAGATGTCCTAAAATCCTTGGTTATTTATTTAAATAGCGTTTTCCCTAGTGGTGTAATGAGTCGTGGGAGGTACATAGCAATTTTCTCTAGATAATGTCGTGTTCGCCCAACGTTTTTCTTTTTAAATCGAAGGTGGAGTGGTTCCCAATCGTGGTGATAAGTTGTGACCCTTGTGACCGAGAGAAGGAAGATTTGTTTCGATGGACAGGCATTATTTTGCAGGGATTAAGGGAGCTATTTCCTAGATGTTAAATACTGGGTAAATTCTCTATTCTATATTGCAGTTCGACATCTATTACCGCCGCTTTATCCAAAGTGATTATTGGGTTACTGTAGAACTCAATGTTTGAGGTTTCTAAGAGGTTTCGATAGATATGCTCAAATTTACCATTTCTGTAGGCATAACCATAATGATGCTGAGATGTAACTACTATAATGCTGAAATATTTGCAAACTGCGGACCGCAGGTGTATGCGGTGGGAACGAACGCGCTATTGTCCTTTCCGGGGAGTAACGCGTTCACCACCACACCATGCGGGTCCTTCGTTTCGCCTGTCTCTCAGCTAGTTCTATCGATCTTTTTCCATCAGCAATCACCCGTCAACAGGATTGATCTGGAGCGCCCAAATCGGCACTGAACCCAGTTAAGCAGAGGTTATAGTTATAATCACAATCTAAACCTTTTTATTTACTGCCTATTCTTTTAACGATAGGGTATTTTGCGAAATATAACTACTATGTGATTGGGTGATTGCTGATGGCAAAAGATCGATAGAACTAGCTGAAGCACAGGCGAAACGAAGGACCCGCATGGTGTGGTGGTGAACGCGTTACCCGGAAAGGACAATAGCGCGTTCGTTCCCCACCGCAGACACCTGCGGTCCGGAGTTTTGCGAATATCTCAACATTATAGTAGTTATATTTCGTAAAATACTCTGCCGTTAGAAAGAATAGGCAGTAAATAAAAAGGTTAAGATGCTGAGATATTTGCAAAACTCCCGACCGCTAGTGTCTGCGATGGGCATCGAAAACTCTGTTGCCCTTTCTGCGTGCTAATATGTTCACCACCACGTCATGGGAGTCCTTTGTTTCGCCTGTCTTTCAGCCCTGTTATTGACCTATAAGCGCTTTCAGTGGGGACCCAAATGAGAATTGGGCCCAATTAAACTGAGCCTGTGGTATAAATTACAATGTAGTCACTTTTTTATTCACCACCTATTCTTTTTTAATGGCTATAATATTATGTGAGATATAACTATATTGATGCTGAGATATTTGCAAAACTCCGTACCGTTGGGAAGGAACTCGCTGCTATCCTCTCCGGGGAGTAGCGCGTTCTCTACCACACCACGCGGGTCCTTCGTTTCTCCTTTCTCTCTATAGGGATGTCTGTAGATCTATTTTCTATGTAATGATTGATTTGATTTGATGAATATTTTATTATGTACGTGTGGTACATTAGTATTACACTATTTCTCGTAAGAAAATTATGTGTTGGGTGCATTATTTTCTATGAGCCACTTTCTTAAAATATTGTATTGGCTCAAAAATTAACCTATTGAACTTATAAGTATCATTTGCTATGGCTGTTGTTATTTATTTCAGCATCTTAAGCATGATGACAATACCATGTTCTGTTATCCTATGTGTACGTGATGCGCGATACGATTTTGAACGCTGGAAAGAGCTCGCTTCATTACGGCAGAAGGGTATCCCAGATAGGCACGCGCTGTTTATCCCATGTCTTTAAATTCCTAGTGTTTGTGTTTTTATTTAAGTTTTTGCAAGCTGTTGCCTTATCGGTGTGCATTTATGGAACTTTATTTAGGTTTATGCCGTACAAGTGTAAATATGATTGGACGAACTATGAGAAACTTATGGAAAGAAAGGCAAACGACTAGAAATAAAACTCTTCCAAATTTTTCTTTCTTCTATGCTGTCGTACATAATATTTTGAAGCACGGTCAGTTTAAGTACCACATGGCTTGTTTTTTGTAGTACAATGATACATGTGCTGAACTGTTTATTTCTCTTTATCAAGACGATTCATTTCTTAGATGAGGTGAAATGAGTACGATTTTACAAAAGATGCGCATATGGATGAAAGAGAAGGATATTAGTAGAACATGAGTACAGCGAAAGAAACATAAAGGGTACCTTCACATTTGTACTACTTTTTTTTGATCGTTTTGCTTCCATCACATTAAAGGATTTTGTCAGGTAGCGTAGCAAATTATAGTAGCGTAGCAGTAGCAAATTATCCCTTTTTATCCTTTTACTAGTTCGTTGCTTTATTACTAATTACTAATTGTAATATTGCAAATGTGTTGATTGTAGAAATTGTAGATTGTAAAATAAATAAAAAAAAGAGCTCTAGGCGTTGACCAATCCCTGAGGGATGTGCTATGCATTCGACTTCATTAAGCATCGTTGGATATGATTGAATGCACATCTGTTCTTTACAATAACTCACGATGGCCTACCGATGTATTGGTATTCCTGATTCTCTATAGTCGCTGATATCACTAATACTTAATATCGTGGTGATTTCTGAATCGTCATCTTCAGTGCAAATAACGTTAGTGAATGGTTCATCTCAGTTATCTTTCATGAAGGGACACGCACCATTTGTGCAGCCGCAGCAGTTATTGGTCGACGGCTAACTGTAACTGTAGATGTATATGTAGAAATGTAGCATATTTTTTGGTCTTTAATCTCCTTTCTGTTATGCGCGCATAGCAAGACGGTAGCCAGCCCTGTTTTATCATTTGGGAGCAAGTGTAACAATGCGTAGCTTGTCTACCTTTAAAGATGATAACGTTAAGGCATGTACACATTTAGTTCCACCCCCATAACAAGTCTATTGACCGCCCTGAGTTGCAAGACAACGTAGCCGCTTGACTAACAAACCCAAGATCCCTTTCAAATGAGTGATGTCCGATTAAACCTGGCAAAAAAAAATTAGATCTTCAATCAAGAAACCTCCACTTTCTATAGAAGATTCATACACATTCCTACGAATTCGAAATCATATCCTCCTACAAATCCGGAATGGTGAGCTATTTATCATCTTAGCGAAAACAGTCCATCAAACTCATTTAATGGAATGCATTTTTTAAAAGTCTAGGAACAAAGAAGTAGAGTGATCTATTTCACAAACTAAGACACCTGCACCATGTGGATCATAATAATGACTGACGGAATTGTGATAACAACCCCTTCAACACATTCTTTAACAGTTTCGCTTCCGCCTTTCAATTATGTGCTTTGCGAATGATGAAGTCTTTACTGCATAATAAATTTAACATTATTTGCATCCTTTGACATTTAGAGGTTTTTCGTACATATAAGGAGATGGACATAAAACTATAATGTTGTCTTTATTCTGTGAAAGTTATAGGTCCAAGGCCAAAGAACAACATATGTCGAAGAATATATCTTTGAACAAATTTACTACATGGTTTCAACATAGACGCTTAATTTATCTAATTTTTCATAGACGCTGAAATTATTTTTAGGACAAACACACCACATCAGTTTTCCGATTAATGAAAAATTTCTAAACACTCTTAGGTTCACACTGCAATTCATAAAGAAGGGCGAAACATGGGACCAATGAAGAAGTTCTGAGTCACTGACCTTCGTTAAAAGATTGAGCGACTGCCCTTTCCGCCAGGTTTCTTCGCTTTCATAACAAATCAATACTAGATTTTATAGGTGTTTATTCTCTCTAAATCCAGTCTAAAAAACTTATTAGGGGATTGGAAGTATGAGTTCTATTACAGAAACTTACAATTATGCCCTTACAACTATTGGAAAAAGTGTTAGTGTATTACGCTGTGGGGAATTTGTCAAAATGGGGAAGAAAACTTGAGGGCGTATCACAGTAAACAGTTACACTGTCTAGTGATCATCTACATAGCAGTCGTCGACAGGAAACTGAGGAAGGTTGATTCGGCTTAAATCTTTTTCAAGTGCACTCACATTCATGCCTATCGCTTCGTCACGAATATCCATATACAAGGGGGTAGAACTAAAAAGCATTAGAAAAAACTTGGAAAAACTGTTATCATAAGCTAATTCTTAACTAGAATAAAATACTTACAGGTAGCGCTCACCAAAACTTGGTAACAGTGTGACAATTAACTTCCCAGACATTTCTGGACGTGAAGCAACCTTACAGGCAGCATGAACATTGGCACCAGATGATATACCTAAACAAGCAAAGCGTTCTCAAATAGTTTTTCAAACCTACCTTCGTAAAACTTTAGCAAGAATAACCATTAATCTCTTCCATTACTAAATGAGGCTTGTAAGAATACTTATTCGGCTAGCATTTGTTAACCTCGTTTCCCAGTAGCCACTATGCGCATTAATTGACCCCTAAAGATCGGAATTCCCCACACGAAATTAATCTTAGGTGTGCTTCCGGATAGAAACATCGAAATACTTGTCGGATTGGGTGACCCTATTGGACCATGGACCACTTCTGTACGTATCCCCAGCCATAACAAGGAAATTAATTATTGGGAGAAGTATAATATATAAAATTCAAAATCTGAGCATATGGTTACGAAATATAGCCACAGTGACGCTGAGACACTTGCAAAACTCCGGATCGCTGGTGTCTGCGGTGGCGACCAAACAAGGTACTACCCTTTTCGGAGGCTAACGCGTTCACTACCACACCGTGTGAGTCCCTCGATCGTGGTTATATTCCTTATATTAACCTGCCATAAAAAAATAGTAGTCAGTAAACAAAAATTGACGACATATGGTTATGGTTTGCAGGTCAGAAACAGGACTTCAAAGAGTCACTGGTTAGATACTTAGATGGCCAGCGCTCATATCTCGTCAACCGTCAGTCAATTCAAATGATTTACTGATATAATAACTATTTACCACATAGAAGACCTTCTTCGAGTGCCATTCTTTTAGCCATTATCATAGCTTCGTCTGAATGTACGGTAACAATGCCATCATATATTGACGTGTCAAGAACAGAAGGAGTGAAGCCAGCTCCAATTCCTAAAGCTAGAGTTCTTATAAAGAATTGAGTTAATGCTTTAATAGATCCCTAGAGATATAACTGAATTCGAAGGTCATTAAAACTATGCTAAAACATATAACTTCAACGATGCTCATTCGCTCATTCGTTTCGCCTGTGATTGTAACTGCGGCCACAGCTTAACTGGGTTCGTTGCCGATTTGGGCCCCCCAGATCAATCTGCTGACAGGTGATTGCTGATGGCAAAAGATCGATAGAACTAGCTGAGACACAAGCAAAACGAAGGACCAGCGTGGTGTGGTGGTGAACGCGCTACTCCCCGGAAAGGACAATAGCGCGTTCGTTCCCCACCGCATACACCTGCGGTCCGCAGTTTGCAAATATCTCAGCATCATTGAAGTTATATTTCACAATGTATACCTTGCCGCTAAAAAGAGTAGGCAGTAAATAATAAGTTAAAATTGTGATCATGTTAAAACAACCCACTATGACTAGACAGAGAAAAACTCTACATTTTCCCTAAAAGCCATATGAAAAAATAAAAATTATACAGACCTTGGATCCGGTGCGCGCCAGGCGGATTACCACTGAGAACTGCACTCTCCACCGGTTCAACGGCAAACATCTTCAAAAACTTTAAATAAACTTAGATTTCAAAAATATACACCAAAAAATGCATTTCGGTGTCTGACGCATATACCTTAACGCTTGGCTTGCGTTCCTTCAGGTACTGACCTACACCTGTAATTGAGCCTCCTGTTCCGACACCGAAAACACATACGTCCACCTGTTGTTGACAAATAATAATTTGCCTTCGTAAAATCACCGGTAAAAAATGTTGAGACAATTAAGTTCAACGGCAGGACAAACTTTTCCTCGCGTTTGTTTCCATATTTCAGGACCAGTTGTTGCGTAATGCACTTGTGGATTGGCAGGATTATCGAACTAAAACAAGCCTTTACACAAGCGGCCTGTTTTCGACATAAAAAAGCCTTCAACAGACATCACTGTTTTCAATAAATATATATAACACTAGCTACCTGCTTTTAGCACCAACCTGAGCCAGAATGTAACTATTCGGTATATTTTTATGTAATTCTTTAGCGCGTTCGATCGCTCCTTTCATCCCCAAAGCAGGATCAGTCAAAACGAGCTCCGCACCGTATGCTCTCAGTAATGTACGCTAAAAACATTTAAAGCTCTTTTAGTTTAATAGACTTAGAAACAAATTAGGACACATATACAAAGACCACGGAAACTAAAACATGACAAAGGACACCAAATTGTTTCTTATCACTCCAATACCAAGGAATTAGGAAAAGAATTGGATATCACCTCATAACTAATCGCTTAAAAGTGCATTGAAGTTCGCCACATACTAAAAATAGTTTTCAGTCACAATGATGCTGAGATATTCACAAAACGTGGACTCCACGACAGATCGAACAACGATTACCCTTCCCGGAGGCTCACAGAAAGGGTAATCGTAGTTGGTTCTGGCCTCGGGTCAAAGTTTTGCGAATATCTCAGTATCATTGTGATTGTATTTCACATCATACCCTGCCGTGAAAAATTATAGTAGGCAGCAAATAAAAAGATAACAGGGTTTTAGTTCCAAAAAATGTAGAATTGAAAGTGTCGACCCACATAAATCGAATACTTGAACCAAGAGAATCACTTTCGCATATAGCAATTCTGGCTTTCAATTGAAATGTTAGGAAATGAACAGATTCTTCTGAATGCAGAATATGTGGAGGTAGAATATTGATTAGGATGTTTTGAGAATGTTCAAGCTTCGTGTATAGAAATAGCACTTCGCATTTAGAGCAAGTCAGGGCTAACCACAACAACAAAACGTGAAGAAAGTTGTAATACTGTAATCCTCTAACAGAACCTAGTAGGTTCTATCTCAATCTCGTTTATTTACCACATTCGGGACGATGCTTAAACTCAGCCGTTCACAGTGACCCCAACATGAATAGTACGCCCTACCTCTCCTCCTCCCCCACACCCGCCTCCACATATTACGCAACGTGAGGGTCATTTAGTTCTTACTTCATGACACTTGATACTTGGATACTTGTATGGCCCGTCCTCACTGATTGTGCGGGCCCCAGCATAATCTCCATTTTTTTTTTGGAGCTCTGTTGGTTTAGCTATTGTGGTTCCCTGAAGACCCGAGGTCAGCCTGGTCAAAATCTGCTCCAGCACGTCATCACACCAGGCAGTCGCCGCCATTGTGGAACAGAGGGAGATTTGCCACCATGCCACTGGTTTGATACCAGGAGGGTGGTGGATCCTGGTATTGCTTTATTGCTAGCTAAGCTTCCTAATGGAAACGTTGCACACAGCCTGGGAGATGCTGCCGGGGATGAGTACCCTGTTGCACATCGCAGCCTGACACCCAGGAACACCCAGCCACGATGAGGCGGTAAACCACTGGGAGGGTCACTTCATGACATATCACAAAAACATATTTAAGAACCAACAGTATAATTAAGAATGTGAAAACTTACTCTTTCGATGCTCATACTTGCTGGCATAGTAATGATAAGACGATATCCTCGAGCAGCAGCTACTGATCCAAGTGCGATTCCCGTGTTGCCGGATGTAGGTTCTATCAACGTAGTGAGACCTGGACGAATCTAAAATTTAGCCTATAACGAGATTTACCTAAGTTCTAAACAGAATGAGGATAAAATAAGTCTGAACTTAAAGTATATTTGAACTAGCTATTCAAATACACTTTAATGTAACCTTTCCAGCATCTTCTGCACTTCTGATCATGGCTAACCCAATCCGATCTTTCACGGAGCATGCGGGGTTTAAATATTCAACCTTGGCAGCTAAAGAAGCGATAATAAACCACTGACAAAATCGGTACTGAACAGATCACAAATGACGAACTTACCAATGATACCTGCTAATCCTCGGCCAATTTTTCTCAGATAAACCATAGGTGTGTTACCAATAAGTTCAGTCGCATCTTCAGCTATGCAATCTCTCGATGCCATTCGGAAAAAAAGCGTAGATTTACATTATACGAAAGAAAAAGTGCTGAGCAACCTAGTTAGTTATCGACCGTAGAAAAAAACGATATCAACTGTTGACTATATCTATACGACAAAGAAATTAAACGACTATAACTGTTTTAACTTCACGAAAACTAACATGATATCCTCGGAACGTCTAGCACGTCACCTGACAAACAAACTAGAATTCGAGAGCTACATAAAAACTGGTTTGGCAGTGCGTTCACAAGAAACTGCAATCATTTTCGCGCTCCAGCGTCATTAGAACTCCCCTGGCCACGATGAGATCGTAAAGCGCGGGTTTCACAAGTTTACGAAAATTACTTCGGTCTTAGCTAACCTTAGATCTCATGTGTCTTTGATCTTATGAACAAAAATTGTTGTTATTGAAGATTTTGCTTTATTGATGGCTGTTCGCAAGGTTGGTATGGAACATTATTTTGGTTAATGTTTCGGCGTAACTGCGTTCTTCAAGTCGCGAATAATTCGAATGTTCTCAATTATTTCTTACCATATCTGAATCTTTGTAGTCGCATTGGATCGAGTCATTTGATTAGAGCAACGTACGAATGACGTAACCTTGACCTACTTTGGATATTACCTATTTTTTCACGAAAGATTGTTTTTTAACAATATTGTCTCTTCTTCCCAACGGTTTAACGCCTAGTCCTATCTGGGAGGTGCTCCTGGGTATCGAGCTGCGAGGTACAGCGGGGAATTCATCCTCTCAGCAGCGCTTCCTAAGCTGAGAAGAAGTCCGGCGTTTCCATCAGGATGCCCAGCTATGAGTAAACCAATACCAGGATCCACCATTGTCCTCGTTCGCATCGTGGTAAATCTCCCTCAGACCCACAAAGGCGGCAACTGCCTGTGGTGGTGACGACCTGGGGCAGACCTTGGCTAGGCTTACCTCACGATTCCAGGGAACCACAATGGGCAAATCAGCAAAGCACCCAAAGAATGGGAATTGTGCTGGGGCTCGCACAACCAGCGATGACGGGCCATCCAAGTATCCACATAAATAAGTATACTTTCGTCTTATGGATAAAAAAAGGATAAATCTCTCGACGTCGATCATTCCCTGAGGGTTACGCCATGCATTCGACTTCATTAAGCATCGTCTGGAGGTGATTGAACGCATATCTGGTCTTTACAATGACTCACAGTGGCCTACCGATGTATCGAGCCAGTGCTGTTATACTCCCAGACAAGTGTGGTCGCAATTTGCTGACCCCGGAGGGATGGAAGGCCTGGTGGGCCATGGGCGCGAGGTTCGATTCCACGAGTGTGTTGCAGGGCGCCTCCGACCACTGCTCCACATACGCCCTTTCGTTTTATGCTGGCTTGTATAATTGCAAATGGTACAGAATAGGTTATCTCCATGGAAATAAATACTTTCAGACGGAGATTCAACCAGACACCGTCCTGTATAAAAGCACAGTGCCGGATGAGGTTGTATTATTGTTCGTGTGGTGTTAGGACTCCACACAAATTGATTCATTGCGACTACAAAAAAATCAAAAGCAACAACTGTTGTAGATCCTGAGTATAAATAATTCTGACTCTAACGATGCCAGTGGCGCCAAAACGTTAGCCACAGTAAAGCTTTGTAAAACTTCGTGTAAGCTTGCAAATAAAGTATGATATTGATCAGTAATGTGGAGCTTAAATGATATTCGGTCAGGGAAAATATGAAAGATGTTACAGGGTATTTGTAGCTACGCAGAATTGCTTTATTAAATCCATATAACCTTCACGTAGTTTATTTCGTCCTTCAATTAAAATATAACACCAACTTGGTGAGTGAATTTCTTCATGAATACCCTAACTGGAAAACATGGTGCTCTTCGTATCCCAAGAGGGATGAGGACCTCAAGGTAACTCTGGACTTTGTCAATTTGGAATGGACGGAAACATGACTTCTGCTTGCTAAGTGATTAACAGGATTGAAGGCGATACTAGTTCCGAAAAGATCTACTACCACACAAGAAAACCAAAAATTTTGGTTTATGGTAGAAAACTTTATTTTAAGGTTACCACTAGTTATAGTGGTGTTCCCATAACATCACGGCTGAACGAATAATTTAAAGGGTGTTTTAGTTGTGATAGCTTTCAATATCGGCGACTTTTCGAGTAAATCTTCCATTTTTCCCTTGTGATTTTTTTAACCAGCTAAGGGGCATAATAATTCGGATCTCGTGAGCTTTTTTTCGCTTTTCTATTGTTTTTAACTCTAATATAGGGACATTTTTCCGCTAGAATTTATAAATAAGGTGCAAAATGATGTGATTCGTTACCCCTAGAAAAGTGTAAGAATTGGTGTGAGATGTGAGAAGTGACTGTTTTAGTGTTGTAGGTTAAGGACTAAAAATTGCTTTTGTGCCATGGACCTGATGTTTTAACTTGATTTTGGTGACCGCGCGATATTGTAATCGAAATGGCTAATTCTAACGAATGCTAAGGCTAGTTCCCAGGATCGACTTTCTCTTAACCTCGGCATTGGAATATGAATGTGTCGTTTTCTTGTTCAACAATCGCGAGGTTTTTAAACAGTATACATTTACTTCCATAAAAACACAATACAATACAACGCTAGCTGATGTTTCGGCAGTATCGCCTTCTTCAGAGCCGCTTTTTCGTGACTTCCAGTGAGGCTAGTTTTAACTTATTATTTACTGTCCACTCTTTTTAATGGCAGCGTATGTTGCGAAATATAACTTCAATGATGCTGAGATATTTGCAAAACTCCTGATCGCAGGTGTGTGCGGTGGGGAACGAACACGCTATTACCCTTTTCGGTGCTAAAGCTAATATTTCATTGCTACATTACTTCTTGGAAAAGATTTATAAGAGAATCCCGAGACAGCGTGCTAGAGTGCTCCCAGTTTGTCACGCAACCGCCCCTCCTTATGGTTCCTTAGGTGGATCAGCTTTTGTACATGTTAGTTCAAAGATAGCAACGAATCCTGCGTGGCTCCACTGCTGGCATCACCTGTAGCCTCCTTAATCGTCGAGTGAACCGATCGAGTGCCAGTAAATTTTCCATTTTTCTCTTTCGGGCGCAAGAGTAGACCAGTGGATTCTGATCGCTCTAGGGACTCGTCGAGCATCGCATCTTTCTTAAAGGGTGTGAAGAACTCTGACCATCGGGTCGGTGGTCTTCCTGCAGTACGTTTGACATCCCGAGGAATCCAATCACCAACGGCTCCTGTCCATCGGTTGTCATTCACACGCATTACGTGTCCGGCCCACTTTATCTACGACTGTTTGGTGTACACAAGCGCATCTTTGATTTTTGATCGTTGACGCAGATCGGAGCTTCGGATCTCATCCCTTATTTGTGTGGAATGGGATACTCCCAGTATCGTTCTTTCGACTGCGCCTTCGATAACGTTGAGTGACCTTTCATCCTGCTTACGCAGCGACCAGGTTTCTGACGCATACGTTAACGCAGGAAGTACCGTTGAGTTGAAAAGGTGGGCACGGTGTCGGGTATTCTTTGTTTTCTTCACTACTTCCTCTTGGAAGCTCTCCAAGTTGCTCGTTTCCATTCGCTCAACTCTGGAGCTAAGTCGTTCATCGTATTGATTTCCCGACCTAGATAGATATAACTGGAGCATTCAGAGAAATTTGTTCCGTTGAGCGTGAATGGGGCATACGAAACCAATCCGTTCCTCATGAACATCGTTTTTGTTTTGTGAGATTTACTCGAAGACCAATCTTTCCACAGGCTTTATCAAAGTCGGCCAACATTCGTTCCGCTTGGCTAATGTTTTGGTGTTATAAGGAGGATGTCATCAGCAAAACGGAAGCGGTTTAATTGCCGACCATCGACTGTCACACTTATTTTGTCCCATTCCAATGTTCGCAGGACGTTCTGGAGTGTGACGGTGAATAATTACGGTGAGATGGTATCGCCTTGCCTAAGTCCTCTTTTGACGTCAATGTTAATATCGTTGTAGAATGATGATATCTTGGTTGTGAAATTTTTGTACAACTCACGAAGAATCTTTATGTACTAAGTAGAAAATCCCTGACTAGCAAGGGCTTCCATGACTGCTATCTTAACTGAATCAAAATCCTTCTGTAAATCGATGAAAGTGAGACAGAGCGGTCTTTTGTACTCTTCAGTGATCCTTGTTGTCGATACTCGATACTTCAATGAGCCTTCTTGTCGTGTGGATGTGGCCCATCGTACTAAATCCTTTTCGAAACCCTGCTTGTTCACATGGCTGTTCTTCGTCTAGTGTTCTGTTAATCCTGTTTAGGATGACTCGAGTGAAAAGTTTGTAGACGACAGACAGTAAGCAGATTGGGCGATAGTTGCCGATATCTCAGACAGGTAATGTGGCGAAGAGCCGAGCCAGTGTGTTTATGAGGACTGGCGAAAGGTTCTTCAAGTGTTCAGGTCTAATCCTGCTCGGACCTGGGGCTCTTCGATTTTTCACCAACGAAATGGCATCTCGAATTTGGGGAGGGAGAATCGGTGGCGCAGCATATCCATCCTTCTTTATTTCATATGACGAAAGGTGGACGTGGATATCGAAAAGATCTGAGTAGTATTCTTGAATGATTTTTTCCATTGAGCTTTGCCAATGCTTTTCCCAACCTCTGCATCTTCGACCATTACTGTTGTTTTTCTCTCTCTAAGGTCTTCTTTTATCGCTTGTCTGCATTTTTTTGCAAGTTCGGACGTTAGTACGCGGTTGCCTGCAGCTCGTGCGATTCCACCTTGGCGTATCAGCTTGAGTGTTTCTGGAGACAGACGTCTGTTGGTGACTTTCGAACTCTGATCTTTCATGGCGCTAACGTGATGTTGAATGAGCCGATCGTATTCTTCGTCGATGTTATCGACAATGGCATCTTCCCAACAGCCGACTAATGAATAAATCCCAGTTTACGGTGGTTCTGGGACTTTGGTTTTTGGAATTTAGCGGCTTTTTCTCCTTTCCGCGAGAAATAGAATCTTGCACGAAGGAGAC